ACCAGCAGCAGCTGTCCTGGCCTTCCCCCTTCTTCCTGCCCCCTCAGTGAGGGGGGAGGGTTAGAAGAGGAGCTAGAGATAAGAAGAAAGGCCTTGTTTCCACTCTCCCTGGAAACTCTCGGGATAGTATCCAAGACCGTTAACCCCAATATTACGAGACTGCCACTGCCGGCCATGATTCACAACAGGGCCCGAAAGAAGGAGAAATGCATGAAAGTTTTCAGACAGTGGACAACAGGCAGCACAGTACAGTGGTTCCTGGGAGAGCAGAACAAGTGAGGTGAGCCCTACAACCGTCCCAGCTTCCTACCTGCAGAGTTTGCAGACTGCGGCACAGAGGGCGACCCCAGGCTGGTCTCAATGTGGAGGCAGAGCCCGGACTCTGGGAGGCCCAGGAGATCCGAGTTCCCAGGGAAGGACACCAGAGAAAAGAGGGGCAGGAGAGAGAGCTAAGGTCCGCGGAGGGGTCTTGGGTTCTCACCACATGCAGGTGAGGAAACTACTGAGGCTTAGGAGAGAACCAGCAAAAAGCAGCAGAACAGTTTTTTGTTGTTCGGAGCTGACACAGGCTGGGGAAAGCCCATGTTCCCACCAAACGGACTATTACAGAAAACTTTGAAATATCTGAGGTACTGGGTATAAATCTCAGAAAATTACTGTCTCCGATAATGGGCCCAAATTAGTCCTAGGTTAAAGACTGATCTGGACCCATCTAGCAAAGCTTCAAAGCAAGCCTGAAAAGGATCAAATTATTTCCAGGTAACCTAATTGCATTCCAGAACAAAACTGAAAAATGTTTAAAGAAATTTCTTAAAATTTAAAAAAACCAGCACTCAACAACATAAAAGTTTCCAATGTTTGATATCCAATAAAAAATCGCCACGCATGCAAAGAAGCAAGAAAATCAGATCTATAATAATTAGAAAAATCAATCAATGACAGGCTCAGCAGTGATACAGATCATAGAATTGATAGACAGGACCTAAGACGTTTATTATATTTTATATGCTCAAGTGAGTAGGGGAAGGATTGAGCATGACAGACAGAATCATGGAAAGTTTTCGAAAAAAGAAACAAATCAAATTTCTATAAATGAAAAATACAACTTTCAAGAGGAAAACTGCAGTAGAAGGAACTCATATCAGAGTAAGCTCTGCAGAAGAGAAACTCTGGCATAGCAATGGAATATTGGAATGCAGGCCCTCCCCTCCCTGTATCCCGCAATTCTAACTTCTACACAGCACACTTGTTCTCACTCAGGTATTATAATGCTGTGGCTCCACAAAGGTTTGATTTCACTCCCTCTCTGAAAGAAAATGGTGAGGGAATCAATTAAACTATACATATATCCCTATGTAATATATGTAATGTATTGCACATACACATTATATACATCTACATATATACCTAATGTACATCTACATGTATGCTGTGCCTATATGTATATATGCTTGCATATGCATAAAACCTTTCTGAGCGATACCCAACTTGCCTCTCAGAAAGAATCTAGGTGTCTGGGGCAGGGAATGAAGGAAATTTTACAAGGTACCTCTTGTACCCGTTGTATCCACTGGACTATGTGAATATAGTACTTATTCGAAACAGTAAAACATGGAATAAACTGTACATGATGGTCACAGTGGAACAATGGGGTGTGCATTGAATCAGGAAGGAAGTGGGGTTCCTACGCCACCTGGGTGACGACTGGATGCCTCAGGTTGTGTCGCTTAGAGCGCGTGTCCAAGGCCCTGCCTGTGGGGGGCCAGGAGGGAGCTTAGAGCCCCAGTGATATCCACACAGTTGCCCCCAGGATGCAGCACATCCCAGGCTGGGCTGTTGGGTCAGATCCAACCCTACCCTGCAGTTGAGGCGCACATGAGCCATCAGTCCTACATTGCCCAAGTAGCTTCTGGCTTAAGGGGCAAGCACCCCAAGGACTGAAACCATTAGGCAGAAGTTACGGGGACATAGATTTCAGCTCAATGTAAGGAACAGCATTCTAAAGTCAAAACCAAAAGTAAACTGAACGCCCCTGGGAAGCAGTGAGTTCACTGCCTCTGGACATGAATAAAAACTGAAACTCCCCAGGGATGGCACAGAGGAGACCCAGCAGCCCCGGGCAGATGGCACAGAGCAGACAGGCTAGAAGTGGTTTCTTCCTTTTTCTCTGAGTGAACAACAAGTCAAGACAGATCCTAGAGGCATTCGCACAGAACTCATCTGGTGGCACTTGCTGATGAGAAGCTTACAAGAATACACATGTCTTTCTAAATACGGGGAGCAATTCTCCTCCCGATAGACCTTGGAACTTAGATGTGTGAGTCATCCCTTGCTTTCCTAATATTCTAATAGTTCTGTATTCTCTCAGTTAACTGCATTTGTGTAACACATTTGTAGTGTGTGGGGGTGGGGAGGAGTAATTCTTCAGGATTGTATTTTCTCTGCCTTTGCCTAGAACCAGCACCTGCCAGAGAAAAACGATAGTCTAGAATGTCAATTCTGGGTTTAAGGACAGTGTAGCAGAGAGAAAGGAATTCTGAGAAATATGTAACCCCCCAAAAGATGTTTTTCAACACAAAGGAAGCAAGAGGGAGAACAAAGAGCTAGATAAAGGCAAGAAATCTCTTTGGGGGACTAAGCCAAACAAACTTAAATGGTATCAGGAACAAATCGGTGGAGTAATTCGAATCATGGGCAGGTGCTATGAGTGTAATTTAGTAAAATGCTCGGGAACCTGCCAAAGCAGAGAAAAATGTGTTGCTTTTGAGATCATTTCCCAGCAGCTTCATAAAAGAAAACTGATTACTGGAATTTAATAAGTAAAACAGAGCCAGAAATATAGTAATCAAATGAGTTTTTAATTACATTTCAGACAGAAAAAAAAAATCCAATTTGTGCTCCAAGGATTAAAAAAAAAAAAATAGTTCTTAGAGAAATGCCTTTGTAGCAGGAAAATAACATAAACACTAATTTCCATAGGAATTACAGTAGTCAGTTTAATTAAAAGTCCTGAGCAGAGAGAAGATGAGCCGGTGCCAAGCTATGCTAAATGAAACCCTGGTTGCTACCTCACTCTGCTGGCTAAACAAAAACACTATACGTTGAGCAGGAACAGGCACCTGCATTTTTTTCATGGATATAGATGGGATTTTCATCGCTGCCTGGGTTATATATGGCTGTTTTATTTTTGTATGGAATAACTAATACATCTGGTTTACAATTAGATGTTGCTCTAGGGGTTTGGCTCACTGGTTGGAGCATTGGCCCTCAGACTGGGTGGTCCGAGTTCAATTCTGGGTTGCAGGCTCAATCCCTGGCCCAGGTCAGGGAGCGTGGGGAAGACAACCAATCGATGTGTTTCTCTCACATCGATGTTTCTCTACGTCTCTTCCCCTCCCTTCCACTCTCTCTAAAAATCAATGGGGTAAATACGCTGAGTGGCCAGATTATTACGATCTCTGAACGCATAATAATCTGGCCACTCGGTGTATATGTTATATAATAATCCTATATAATAAAAGGCTAACATGCAAATTGTCCCCTCTAGCAGGACTTCAACCAGCAGGCAGGCTGGCCAACCACCCAGGTCCCTTCCCCCTGGCCAGGCTGGCCGGTCTCCACCCATGCACGAATTCATGCTCCTGGTCCTCTAACACACACACACACACACACACACACACTGAGTGGCCAGATTATTATGCGTTCAGAGATCATAATAATCTGGTCACTCAGTGTATATCCTCAGTTGAAGATTATCAACAACAAAAAATGAAGGACATTGATGTGAAAGAACATCATCTCAGCCAAGCTGGCGTGCTTGTCGCTCGGAGGGATACCAGTTGTTTCCGGGCGTTTCAACCCTCGCCTACTTACTTTACACCCAGTTACATTTTATTTGTGGTCCCATCACTTGCTGGAGAGGAAGGGGGAGGGGATAAACAGGTGGCTGCAGCCAGGCTTAGGGAAGGGAGCTCTTTCTCCAGCGGAGGATTTTTGCTCTTGGCCGCCCCTTAGCCACAGCTCCAGCTGGGAGAGAGCTTTTCAGGAGGTGTGCTTCCTGGTGGTGTGTTTCCCTGGTAACGCACCGGGCAGACACACCTGCAAGCTGTCTCCACGCCCCTGGGGTTCACATCTGTGGCCACAGAACCCGGACCCGGACCCGAGGCATAAAGAGGAAACAGGAAGTGTTACCTTTCCTTGAGCTAACACCCCACAGCTCCCCGATCCTTGTTCCCCTTTAGAGGTCATCCAAATCTTGTGAGGCCAAAAGTTTATACCATTGGGGAGTAGAGGACTTAAAAAAAAAACACATAGTTAAGTAAAAAGGCAATGTTTAGAAGGGAGGACCCTAAATCCTGACCTTCATTAGCCTCATGGGTCAGTCGCTACATCCTACATTTCCTCTTCCCTCATCTCTCTTACACCCCTTTGTCTTCCCCCCAACCCTTTTTCTTTTCCCTCCTGTCTATTTCCATACATGTTCTCCCAAAGATCTGTACCATTGCCACAGTTCCAAGATCCTTGCTTTAAAAATGAAAACCTCCTCTTGTTTCAAGATTTTGCCTGGCCTCTTATTCAGGTAAGTCCACCTGGAGTCATCTCTGGTGGAGCAAGTTTATTTTTTATAAAAATTTAAGTTCATGGTCTAATGAGATCTGGAGGCCTCCAAGGCAGACAAAGATACACATATTAGTAGACATGTGTGAGCTAGTTTGTTTCCTCTTGCTTGATGTGGATCTAACACAGGATCATAATCTAATTGGCTGGCACCCGGGAGTAGTACTCAGCCACCTGTCTTATTTTTTTCATTCTCTGCATCGGCTCTATAGTATAAAACAGCGGCACTCGATGCATGGGTACTTCTTGTAAATAGCTCGTGGTTACCAAATAATCATCACTTTCATTCCTCACAGCCGGTTTCCTTCTCCCCGGGAAAGCTGGAAAATCATGTCAGTGACTCCAGTTCCTCTCTCTCCCACCTTCTGATTGTTTTGTTTTAGGCCTTGGTGAAGGTCAATGTGAAACTGAAGCCGATGCTGGATTCGGTGTCTGAGAACAGAAGTAAATGGGAAGAGCTGCACCAGAAAAGGCTGCTGGTCTCAGCTGCCTCCCCCAGTAACTAACCCTGGGGTCAGCTGCTGCTGCAAAAGAACTGCATCTTGACGGGCCAGCTTTGGCCCAGCCTCTTCATCCTATTCGTTCTTTAAGCTCAGACAGACAGAAAGTTTGGAGGATGAGCTGGGAAGCATGCCTGGGGTTTCACCTTGACGTGTGGCCACCAGGGAAAGGCATGATGGGAAGGACAGAGGAGGAGGTGGGGCAGGGAGCACACCCCAGGATCCTGGACTTTCCATGATGAACAGACATGAAACAGGCGCTGGGCAGGGGAACAGCTGTGGATCCAGGCGGCCCTGGCCATTCTGACCCAAGGGAACATGGACCAGTGCAGGCGTCACTAGAGCTGCTTCATTTTGCATATGGCTCTTCTCTTTGCTACAAGGCAACAATGCCTGCCCTTGCATCCTCTTCCCAGTGCCCTTCAGTGCCAGGCTGTCCTAAGAACCCTGATTTGTATTCTGTAGAGGTATTTTATTTTTATCCTAAAGCTTCTTAATGATGGCTCAGAGCCAAGAGACTTGTAAAAGATAAACTATATTATCCTTACAAACACCAACTATTCCCACATTTCCCCTAAAAATAGCTGTAGTAGAAATACATCCAATGTGTTTGTCTGATTGGGATTTATACAAGATTCATAACACTGCATTGGGATGGTGGTCCCCTTTTTCAGTTTTCTAATTCAATCTTCATTGTAGACCAACTCTACTCCCAGAAAGAATAGATTAATAGGCTTTAATTAAAGTAAGGGTGAAAGAAAATCTATAATTGGATTTACCACAAGTGGCATATGAACATTTAGAAACTATTTCCAGCAGCCAGACATTGCAACAGGGCACAGCAGCACCATGGACAACGATCATTGACTACCTTGAGTTCTCCTAGTGATGATGTTTGTATAAAACTGAAAGTCACTATCACTACCAACCTACAGGCAAATGCAGGAATCTCCAATTTTGGATTTTTCCTTAAGTATTAGAAATAATGTCTGGCAGGTGAACAAATAATGGTGCAGGCAGAGACCACATATTCTATGGAAAGCCAGGTTTACAATGGGTGAGAATAAACTATATGAAATAAATGCAATGACTAGAAAGCCACTTTGCTTCCCATTTCACCTGAGATTGAAGTCACGCTATGCCTTATCCAAAGAATGGGAAGTGAGAAGCTAGCTTTGGCATCGTGACTGGATGACTTTGGACACTTCACCTAACCTCTCTCCGTCAGTCTGTTTCCTCATTTGTCAAATGAGGCTACACTTAGGAAATGGTTTTCAAACACGCTTTAACCTTGTAACTCTTTGTTCAAATAAATCTCACATGGAATCTCCGAGATATAAAACATTCTCCGTGAGCCCTCCCTTGAAGCCAGTTGGGGATCCAGAGCCCCAGCACACCCGCAGGTCTTCGATCACATACATGGTGCTCCATAAAGGGGCTCTGAGGAGTTGGAAACCCCTGGATCAGATGACCCTTGAAGTTCACTCCAGCTCTGAAAAATCTAAAATTTATAAACCATGTTTTGTTCTTATTGCCCCTGGCCAGTATCAGTTATTAACTTCATTACTCAAATACTAAGGAAATAGGGACCGAGATCCACAAAGAACATTGTTTTCCTGGCATGGAGCAGGCATTCAGGACATGTGTTCTTTAAAAAAAAAAAAAAAAAAAGATGGGTAAATTAAGGTACCAAGCGGAAGTGAGGGAAGAGCAGATACACATAGGGAAGAAGTAAGATGCCAGGTGGCAAGAAACAAAGTACAATTATAAACCAGGCAAAGAGGGGTAAAAGAGGAGGAAGAGGAAGAGGAAGAGGAAAGGGGGCAACGGGGAGGAGAAGCCACTGAGGCAGGTGGTCGGAAAACTGCCCAAAGGGAAGGTGAAAGTCATTCCACACAGACAAAGCACTTGTAACCAAATCACCTGGGCATGCACAATCCTGTCATCAATTGCTTAGAAAAAAGTGATACTTGAGCAGAGGGGGGTTTGACAAAGAGAGAAGGAAGGAGTGGGAGTCCTAAAATATAATGTTCCTAGCTGCCCTTTACAGCTGCCTCTGCAGGGAAGACTAGAGGGACTTGCGGAGAAAATGAGTGCAGGAAAAATTGCCTCCGCAGAGCAGGTAAGAGGAGGCTGTTCAGATTTATGGATTTTATTAAGCCAGTTTTCGGAATCACTCTGCTATAAAGGAAATAGCTTCTGCTGGGCCGTCTCTCCTCAGGTGAGGAACAAAGGGTGGGTGGAGTTAGGGCTCAGAAGCACTGCAGGTGTTGCTGGCTATGGCACCAGATCAGGTTTATGTCACAAGCGGGAATTGAAAAACAGACCGGGTGAGGCAGAGACGAGCCCACATCTGTTATCCTCCCCAACAATATAAGCAGCCCAGACAGACGGATGCCAGTCTATCTCTAGCGACATTTGACAGCATGTGCCTGGTGATAAAACTAGACCCAGGGCCCGTGGAGACTGCAGGCAGCTACAAGCACCATAGCGATCCTGAACACGGATGCTGCGTACTGCTAAGGGGAACATAATTTATAGCGCAGACCCTCCAGCTTCCACTGAGGTTGAGTTTTCCCTTCATTTCCTTGCCTTTTTATTGGCTTCACTGCACGGTTGCCAATAGCAACGTCCACTGGTGGCAAGGGGAGTTCAACATCATTGCAATCTGCCATACAGTGGAGCCCTGACAATGTCAACCATCAATCAAGCAGCTGTTTGTAATTGCCTCCATCTATTTTTCCTGTCGGGAAGTATCTTTCCTATTGTGGGTCAGAATTCAGAAACTGCTGACTCATACCTTGGCCTGTTCCTCCTGGACCCAGGCAGTGGGAAAGGAGGGTAGCAACAACCCAGGGGGTCACAGATTGAACTCTTGGGAGCCTAAGGGTTTTAAACCCCTTTTTAAAATAATCTATAATTTCCCAAGAATGCGAAGTCTGTGTAGTTATCCATATATTCTGCTTTTCCAAAAGAGAGAACGCGAAATTCCCCAACCCTTATTATTAGGTTTATTTCCTAGTGGAGGAAGGCATTTAAAATGTGAGCCTTCTTACAAAACCCCCAACTGACCAGATTATGTTTGCCTCTTCGAGGCGCTTGCATTCACATTTGAAATTACTTCATCCTACTCTCTCCACAAGATGCATTTGTTTTAGAGATGCTTTTTAGTCTCTTATCCGTCGGTGTGGAGATAACACGTGCACATCCTACTCTGTAGCTGGCAAGCTGGCCAGTAGGGTCAGCTTGGCAAACTGTAAAGGGCGCCATCCTGCCGTGGCTATGGGACTCTCCAGCCTCAGGTTTTCTGTTGGTAAAATAAGAGCACTGACTTCATTTCCACACCAAAGGACCAGTTGTATTTAACTTTCAAAAAATGTCTTCAGATAGCTGTCTTGTTTTCTGTTCTCGAATAAAATAGGAATAAACCTAAAAAGGTCATCTCGTTAAAGACAAAATGAAAAGTTACATCTATGGGGTAGATTTAAAAATAACCTCGCACAGATTTGTCTGAGCCTGCCTCTAGGGATCATGAAAGACTATCATCAGTACAATTTTTAAAAAATATATTCTTTTATCACATAAAGGACAGTTTTAGATGATTTCGTATCATAGATATCCCATAAATGGTAGTCAAGTTAATTTAAAAGTAAACTTATAAAGCAAGTTAAGAAACTAAAATTAAAATTGCATGTGTTTTCTGTTTCTAAAATCTGAGATGTCAATAAAATAAAACTTAAATAAAATAAAATAATAAAATCTGAAATGTCTATCCATTTCCAAGTATTTTATATTTACATATACATTAGGTTAGAAATAACCACACAATTGTGTGGTGAAGGCCTGAGGTGGGGGGGAGGGGGCCGTGAAGGAGAGAGGGAAGGGGTTAATGGGTGGGGGAAGGGGCATCTGTAACACTTTCAACAATAAAGATAAATTTAAAAAAAGAAATAACCTTTAAATTTTTGTTAGTGTAAGTAGTTCAGTTGCTGTTTTCATGTATCATATTTCTTCCTATTTTTCCCACTTGCCTTCGGTCATTAAACAGAGTCTGCTTAATATACTCTGCAGTACAATTATTTTAAAATCAATTTATCCTGCTGACTCTTCTTGAATAGAACATAAGGTAACAGTTTTATCTCCAGTAGTAGTTCCCTTCAAGTGGGACTGAAATCTAAACAGATTTAAATATTTTTAAAAGTGTCTTAATTGGAAAAAAGAAAAAAAAAAAAAAAAACACAGAAAGGATTCATTAAAACAACAGAAGAAAACCTGACTTGGGAACCTAAGAACTCTGGCAGAGTCACTGTAGTGAAGTTCCATTACCTGTTGTTCTGCCGTGTGCTGTAAGGAACTCCCAAAACTCAAATGTACCAGGAAATTTAAAGATTGAGTCTGGCTACAAGAAGGCCAAGTTTTCCTAAGTTTCATAAGTGAACAATAATAGGATAAAACACATCGCTGGCAGAAATAAAATGCAGTATGTCTGGAGAATTTCATGATGAGCACCTGGATTTAGTAATGACTGATGTCCTCCTTACATTGTTTACCTTTACCTCCGCGAGTAACGTGGGGTTGTATGTCTTTTCTAATTTAATTTGGAATGTTGTTGCATATTTGGTTCATTTCTCAACAGTGCTAAAGAGGTGTATCTGTGTATTAAATCTATAACAAAGTTGTTGAATGTATACACTCCTACAGAAATGTTTATTAAGTAAATTATTTGCTGTGAAAAAAAATGTTATTTGAGGCCATCATTTATATTTGTGTTTATTTTCTGTGTGCATATGTGTCTGTTACAATATCATTTTTTTCTTCAGATTTAGATTAAATCATACTGAGATGAATTTTTTAAAAAAGATGAAGAAAAGAGAAAGAAAAGGAAGGAGGGAGGAATGGAGGGAGGGAGGAGGGAAGGAAGGAAGGAAAGAAGGGCATGTTGGTGTGGAAATAGACTAGTTTTGTTGGGCCTCATTCCCTTAGGGAAAAATTGCTTTTGCCATTTTATTTTTATGTACAATAATCTAAAAAGGATCTCCTCCTGATTTGCTTCCTAATTATTGCTTTACACAAAAGGAGGGAAATATGTTTTTAATTGAGTTGTCTGAAGTCACTCCCTTTGTGTAGATTTCCCAGGCTGATGTTTCATTGTAAGAATCCAACATTATAGATGTCTTGACCATTTCACAAGCAAAATCATAATCCATGATTTTGAAATAATCTGCTGCTTTAAGGGACCTAAATATCTTTGTTTTTAATAAAATGCTTACGGTTTAACTAAAGCTTCAGAATACTCTTTCTCTTCATGGGGCGGGGATATAAGGACAGAAAGAGGCAAGCATGCATCTGAATACCAACAATTGAAATTGTGATGATCACTTTTAGCTCATTAACCTTGCCTGGACCTGTGATGTTTGCCTGTGTGAGAAGGATGCTGGAACAGCCCGCTCCTTGGAACATTTTAAAGATAACAAAATAATTCGAATTATTGAAGTTTTCCTGGAGGGAGAAGAGTCTGCAGCCCTATGCAGGTTCCAGCATCCTCACAGATTGCTCAAATTTGCATGGGCAATTACACAGGGGAATTGCATCAATTCAGGGCTGTCAGCCACACTGATGCCATACAATTACACAATGGCTTCGGTGCTTAAACTTTAAAATTCTTACAGCGTTGTGCCTGTTCTATTAGAACAAACTGCAGCAAATGACCCAAAGCCAATTCAAATGACTGAAGAGGAGGTACCCAGGGGGTGGGGGTGAGGGTGGGGAGGTGGGGGGGAGAAGGAAGAGGTGTAGTGTGGCCCCTACTGGCCAGCTTAAGCAATCACCAGTCCTCCCGTGCTGGCTGCAGCAATCATTAGCATCTTAATCCATGCTTTTCAAGTGTGGCCAACAATAAGAATTACCAAATTCACAGAAGAGCTGTAAAGATTATGAGGGAAGTTAGGCAAAGCAGACCTGGTCTTGGTACAAAAAAGTATCCTTTATAAACACAGGGGCTAGAGTAGGTCTTTGTTTGGGTAGGTGGTTGATTATTTCTAAATGCCAGTTGTGCCTTCTCTAAATCCTTTTATAAATCAGTTGCTGCTATGATTTCCGTTAAATTCATTTAGATCATAACACTGTAAGTCCCCAAATATAAACTACTTGATAAAAAAAAAAACTATATTCAAAAAGAAAATCAAATTTAAAAAAATAATAGAACTGGGAATTACCAGGAAAGATGAGGTTAAATGTCTCACCATCTGAATGTAAATGTTCCTAAGCATTGATTTGGAATACAATAAAAGTCTTAAAAAATTAAACAGATACTCCTAAAAGTCAGTCAACTAACTGGCACTAATTTATTATTTTCTTCTCTGTTATGGTGAAAGATGGGGGAGGGAGGAAACAAGATAACTGAGTCCCCCAAACTGACCATATTGTAGAAAATGGCCTGGAAATAAAGGGGGAAAGACATAACAACTGGAAAATGGTTCTGCAGGTCTTCCTTTATGAAGGAAGATGTCCGACCACAGCTATGGTTGTGGAAATGTTCATAAATTAACAATGTTTACCAATAGGATACTTAGAGAATTAATAAGAAAACATACCTTCTAACTAGTTTTAAAAGAAAATGACGAGTAGATTATCAACACAAATAGAATTTGATCATTTCAGACACAGGCAAGCAGAAACATAAGCATATTAAGAAGCAAACATGCGTGGTTTAAATGCTTTTGGCTTTTATACATTATGCCTGAATTCTATGTGGTAAACATGCCTTCCCTTATGCAGCAAAATCCAACGCCATTTCCCCAAAGAAATTCAACTAAATCATTTTATTGCAACCACTAAATTCTTTCTTATTGCTAGGAATGGTACGATACAGTTACTTTTTTTTATATATGCTCTAGATTTTCAAGATCCTGTTGGAAACATACTGATCCTTATGACATTTTATGTCACCTATTGCTTTCCAGAATTTCTATCATTAATTAAAGGGTCTTCTTTCACCTTTGGCCGCCAAGGGGAACTCCCTGCACACATACACACACAAAAAAAAACACCTAAATCTATTTCCAAACTGCCTATATGAGGCAAAATAAAAGCCTATCACAGCAGCAGTGATGGTCATGCCAATTTCACAGTGTGATTTGGGCACTCATTTCATTTTGAAAATGAACCTGCCCTCCATCTGTCTAAGTGGAAAGTCCTGCTTTTGTCAAGCCAGCACATGAAATAAGGGGGAAGACACAGAACAGCTGCCCTTGTGCCCCCTTCTGCTGCCACACTCAGATAGTCACCAACATAAAGAGGGGAACCGCAACTGATACTGGTAGGGATCAGAGAGAAGATAGTCCTTTTATCTTTTTTATGTTTCCAAGAAGCCATTTGGAGGTGAATGCTTTCATGATGCAATTCTGAGAAATAGAGATAAACTAAAAATATATAACACAATTTCCTGTTTCTGTGTTCTATTATCTTGCCTTGATTTAATAGCAACTTACCCAAAGTAACAGTTCATACATAAGGATTTTGATTTACTGAGCCTGAGTTTCCAAGGGACAAGTGTAGTTAGTTATAGAGAAGATCCTCCTCCACTCACCCTCAAATATTAATCAGCACTAGCCAGCATCCCTCAACCCATGTACCTCCCTGGTTTGAAGGCCCTTAAATGGTGCACACAGAGCCTGGGTTGAAAGAAGGTTATGGTGATCCTCACCAACTGCTTTCAATAGTGGCCCAGAGCCTTACTCAACCCTCCTGAAATGGGTGTAGTTCATCCCTTTCTCGGTATTCATACAGTGGAAGCTTCCTTGTCCAATTCCACCCATAAGAACACAGCTCTGCCAGTTTCTGAGCAAAGAAAAAGACTGAATTAGTACATAGAATCAGTTGCTTTATGATAGGAGCAATCACAAGTCTATAAAAGTTCCCTCCTAGCTATTCCAAGTGACTAGGAGTCACACCACCCCCACATTATTTCTTAACATCTGCTCACAGCTACAGTTCAGCCTTGGAAGCTCACACTTCTATTACCAAACAAACTTGGTTGCTTTTTTTAATGGAGAAAATAAAGACACTAATCCACTGTCATACAACTTGGCACCAAACACTGAGCCCTTAAAAACTCATCTATAGAAGGTATATGGAACAGATTATTCACCAGTCACTATTTCCTTCTGAAACTAGCTATTTGAACATCATGGCACAGCTACTAACTATTTAACTGTGTGGTCTTGGGCAAGTCACTTGAACCTTTCCAGTAAACAGATTCTTCATCTGTAATATATAGACTACAGGGTGAACAATAAGATTAGAATTAATACATATGTAAATGGTCTAATAGAGAGTCGTATAATACAGTTGCTGTTGGCTCTGAAATTGTATATATAGGAAATATGTAGGGGCAGCAAAACTATAGAGGAGGCAGATAAAGGACTGGCGCGAAAGTCTTTAGATATATAGCAAAGATGCTTTTATTCAAACACCGTTTTTCTTGGGTATACACAGGTCAATATAGATCATGGTCAATCAGTGGAGATGTAGGGAGAGCAAGGAAGTTTTGTTTCTTAATTTCAATAAAATTTGGAGGACCAGGGCAGAAAACACAGCCAAATTTAAACACCAACATTGGCTTAGTAATGCCTGTTTATTAAAAAGGGAAGTGGAAGGTACTTGGATCTAAAATTTAGAGACTCTCATACCTGATAAGATTCACAAAACCATTTCCTATGGAATGGAGAAAAATAAAGACTCTTGGTCTCTACATATTATGTTACAACAAAGTGTGCCCTCAAGGCAGCTTAAAAACAGAAGTCTAGGGGAAATCCAAGGAAATATTCCACCTTTTCTATCCCATTAATTTACAAAAACAAAACGCGAAACAACACATGTATGCAGCACGTAATATACAGGACACACGACCACAAACCTTCCTCCCCCTCGCCAAAGACCGAGATGACACAACAAGTAGGAAGCAACCCTTATTTACAGTGAAACCCCATCTGCCAGGCTGTGGCTCCCTCCCTCAGAGACTACATCTCCCAGAAAGCAAAGCGGCCAGCTCCCAAGGGGCCTGGGTACATTTGACCGGTGCATGCCGGGAAGTAGAGTTTCCGACTCAAAACTACCATGAAGGGATTCCTTTCTTTTCCAATTCATTTCCTCCGCAAGTCGTCTTTGAGGACTGAATCGGTACTCGAGAGACTCTTTTCAGTGATTCCTTTATATGACTAACGGTCTTTTTCCGTAGCAAAGTAATATCCGGGCAAGGAGGTTTCCGTTTCCGGTTGGCTTGTTGCCTTGGTAACTGGAACGCGCGAGCGTTTGGCGGTTATGGCGGGGCTGGGAGGTACGCCGATCCCCGACGGGGAGTTCACCGCCGCCGTGTACCGGCTCATCCGGGACTCCCGCTACGCCGAGGCGGTGCAGCTGCTGGGCCGCGAGCTGCAGCGGAGCCCGCGGAGCCGCGCCGGCCTGTCGCTGCTGGGCTACTGCTACTACCGCCTGCAGGAGTTCCCCTTGGCGGCCGACTGCTATGAGCAGCTGAGCCAGCTGCACCCCGAGCAGGAGCAGTACCGCCTGTACCAGGCCCAGGCCCTGTACAAGGCCTGCCTGTATCCCGAGGCCACCCGGGTCGCCTTCCTCCTCCTGGACAACCCGGCCTACCACAGCCGGGTGCTCCGTCTGCAAGCCGCTATCAAGTACAGCGAGGGCGACCTCCCCGGGGCCAGGAGCCTGGTGGAGCAGCTGCTGAGTGGGGAAGGGGGTGAGGACAGTGCTGGTGAGAACGAGTCAGATAGCCAGGTCAACCTGGGTTGTTTGCTCTACAAGGAGGGACAGTATCAAGCTGCATGTTCCAAGTTCTTTACAGCCCTGCAGGCCTCGGGCTACCAGCCTGACCTTTCCTACAATCTGGCTTTGGCCTATTATAGCAGCCGACAGTATGCCTCGGCGCTGAAGCATATCGCTGACATCATTGAGCATGGCATCCGCCAGCACCCAGAGCTGGGTGTGGGCATGACCACGGAGGGTATTGATTTTCGCAGTGTTGGAAACACTTTAGTTCTTCACCAGACTGCACTGGTGGAAGCCTTCAACCTTAAGGCAGCCATAGAATACCAACTGAAAAACTATGAGGTGGCCCAGGAAACCCTCACTGACATGCCACCGAGGGCAGAGGAAGAGTTAGACCCTGTGACCCTGCACAACCAGGCCCTGATGAATATGGATGCCAGGCCTACAGAAGGGTTTGAAAAGCTACAGTTTCTGCTCCAGCAGAACCCCTTTCCCCCAGAGACCTTTGGCAACCTGTTGCTGCTCTACTGCAAATACGAGTATTTTGACCTAGCAGCAGATGTCCTGGCAGAGAATGCTCACTTGACTTATAAGTTCCTCACACCTTATCTCTATGACTTCTTAGATGCCATGATTACTTGCCAGACAGCTCCTGAAGAGGCTTTTATTAAGCTTGATGGACTAGCAGGGGTGCTGACTGAGCAGCTTCGGAGACTCACTAAACAAGTACAGGAAGCAAGACACAATAGAGATGATGAAGGGGTCAAAAAGGCAGTGAATGAATACGATGACATCCTGGAGAAATATATTCCCGTATTGATGGCCCAGGCAAAAATCTACTGGAACCTTGAAAACTATTCAATGGTAGAAAAGATCTTCCGCAAATCTGTGGAATTCTGCAATGACCATGATGTGTGGAAGCTGAACGTGGCTCATGTTCTGTTCATGCAGGAAAACAAATACAAAGAGGCCATCGGTTTTTATGAGCCCATCGTCAAGAAGCATTATGACAATATCCTGAATGTCAGTGCTATTGTGTTGGCTAACCTCTGTGTTTCATATATTATGACAAGTCAAAATGAAGAAGCTGAGGAGTTAATGAGGAAGATTGAAAAGGAAGAAGAGCAGCTCTCCTACGATGACCCAGATAAGAAAACCTACCATCTCTGCATTGTGAACTTGGTGATAGGCACACTTTACTGTGCCAAGGGAAATTATGACTTTGGGATTTCTCGCGTTATCAAAAGCTTGGAGCCTTACAATAAAAAACTGGGAACTGACACCTGGTACTATGCCAAAAGATGCTTCCTGTCCTTATTAGAAAACATGTCAAAACACACGATCATGCTTCGTGACAATGTTATTCAAGAATGTGTCCAGTTTCTAGAACACTGTGAAGTTTATGGCCGGAACGTGCCTGCTGTTATTGAACAGCCCCTGGGAGAAGAAAGAATGCATATTGGAAAGAATACGGTCACATATGAATCCAGACAGTTAAAAGCTTTGATTTATGAGATTATAGGATGGAATATGTAGTCATGTCTGATAATGGGCATGTTTCTTATCTATATTTGGTTTTCTCTTTTGTCTGTAGTTATCCTTTGGTTTCTTTACATTTGTTGAAATTTTTACCCTTTAAAAGTTAATAATTTAGTTGTAACTTTTCTTTTTAATAATCTCATGAAATGAAATGTAATAAAAGGAACTTGAACCCTAGAAGTGTAGGAGAAAATTCAAACGTGGAGTAATTTAAATAGTATTTCTAGTGCCTGTGTTCCCTATCCTTTGCATATTTGTGCTTTGCTATATCCTGAGGGAATCCTCCATGACAATATTACATTATCCAGGGAATAGGCACTATCAAGTCCAGGATTCAGTTAATGTGTAGGACATCTGGGCATTAATAATCATTTTAAGAATATTGTGTTGTACTCTAACATTAACCCTTATAATTACATTAATTTATAATGCATATATTTTGCATAGACCTTTTAAGTGGAATTTTTGTTGTTGTTTTTGATGATTTTGTTTGGTTGGTTTTTAATATGCAAGACTTGGGGAATTCTTGTGCCATACAAAATTGTGGTGCTATGGTGTGGAGACAATAAACAATTGGCCAATTTCCATGTTTCTTCTGCTCCATTTATTAAAAATTTAAATATACAAACATGAACATAAGATATAATCATACTATTTCATAATTTATATTTAGCATTAATAATAGGTAGCTTTAGACTAAGTTCTTATTTCTTATTCTTGTATTTCTACTTAGGACACATGAATCCTAGAACATTGTTTCCATGTTCTAGCCTCTTGAAAATGAAAAAAATTCTGCATGCTGTTTCAGTGATCCTAACAACCCTCTACCCTATTCATACAACAGAAGGAATGGTCTACCAATGGATTCTGAAATCATATCTGGTAGATTCATATTACAAATTTCATATTTAACAGCCTCTCAGTAATGTTTTGGAGTTCTCACTGTGAACCCAATCATTCTGCTCAGGCATTTAATTTTCTATAAGCCACAAAAGCTTTATATTTGTTCCACCCTCAAGTCTAATAATGGTTTTTGCTTTTTTTTTTTTTTAAGTATATTTTATTGATTTTTTACAGAGAGGAAGGGAGAGAGATAGCTAGAAACGTCGATGAGAGAGAATCATCGACCAGCTGCCTCTTGCACAGCCCCTACCGGGGATGTGCCCGCAACCAACGTACATGCCCCTGACCGGAATCGAACCTTGGACCTTTCAGTCCACAGACCTATGCTCTACTGCTGAGCCAAACCGGTTTCGGCGGTTTTTGCTTTTTCTAACCTATATTTCACACTCTTCACATTTATATTTATCCTTTGTTATATATTGAACTTGGTAAAGATGCAAAGGATGGAAGTAATAATAAATATTTAGTTTGAGAAAGTGTTCCATTTAAGAAGAGAAGGAGCATATAATATGAGCTAAATCAATTTGTACCATGTCTTGTCCTCATGCAAATTGCTAGGGTGATATCTTTACGTAAGCAAGGAACCAGGTACCCTAAAAGCAGTTTATATTCTACTTTAGGCTGTAAAAAAAAGAATGTGACTAGCCAATGAACTTTCAGGGTGGGTGTGTTTGCCTTTGATTACTAGCCCATGGCTAGACCATTTCTCAAAAAAGAACAGTTTCATTGTGCCGTTTCAAGATGGACTGTGTTTCCAATAAGACTAATTATGACCTTACTTGTATGGCTCCACTCCATTTTTTAGTTCTTTAACAGCAGACTATTTGGACACTGGCCCAAGTTCTTTGAGAAGTACAGGTATTAATGGATGATAATTTTTTTTCTTGGTTCTTATGAGATTTGGTCCATGATTTAATTTTCCTCCATAATTTGATTGGTTGGTTGGTCTTAAATGTTATAATCAATTAGAGGCCTGGTGCATTAAATTCATACGAGGGGCTCGGCCCCCAGAGCCTCGGTGGCTTGCCTTGGCCTGAGGCAACCATGGTAGCTGCCTCTGCCCTCGCAGCCCTGGCTTCATCTGGAAGGTCGTCCGGAAGGATGTCTGGTCTAATTAGCATATTATGCTTTTATTATTATAGATACTTCCCTTCATTTTCCATGTTTGGTTTTCCAGAATTGTCTCCTTGTGAATATGGGCAAACATCAAATGTGGAAGCTTTCTAATATGCTCAATGTAGGGAAAAATAAACACTGAACTGAAAATGAAAAGACTAAGATATTTGCTTTTAATTATTCCAAAAAATGTTATACAAAAATGATATATATCCAGCATATTATAATATGCATTTTAAATCACTTACTCTTGAAATAATTACAAGCTTTCCTGCCCTTGAGGTGAAGGCCCCAGCTGCCAGTCTGCCAGAAATCTGGAAACAGAACAGGAACAGGTGAGATGAAGATGAAAGAGAGACTTAGCTGTGCGATTTACTTCACCTTGGATCCCCTTCAATTCCAAATCTCAGCAGTTAATCAAATGTCTGCCACCATTAATCGAACAGAAGCAATGAATAACAGAGTGGAAGTAACAGATGCCAGGGCTACTTATGTAGCTAACTCACCAAATCAAATCACCAGTCCTTACACCCTGGTTTTATCTAATAAACGGAGAACAGGATATGCAGCCTTCCCCAAAGGACAAAGCCACAGGAACAACAAGACAGTCCCTAGTTTATAAAGCTTTCTCACTGTAGCCTTTTTCTGCCTTCAAAGGATTGTTTAGGAGGTAGTGGTGTTTACTACTACAAAATGTATGACAAGAAAAGACATGAAAAATCTACCTACCTTACCATCCCCTTTTCTTGCCCTTTTTAAATTTTCCCCCCTTTTGTCAATTATAGGAACATTTCTCTGATAGCTGGCAGTTGTTACATAAGCAAGTGTTAAAACTGCAAATCGGCCATTTAGCAATGTGCCAGATAGGATAGCACTCTCATTAAGTGGCTTTAGGTACCATTTAACCTTATTTTTGCATTTCAAGTTAACATTTATCAATTAAAAGTGACTCCCAGCATGGTTCAGTGGATGAGCTTTGATCTCTGAACTAGGAGATCGGGGTTATGGGTTCCATCCCCAATGTGGGGCATGCATGAGGCAGTCAATCAATGACTCTCATCATTGATGTTTCTATCTCTCTCTCTCTCCCCCTTCCTCTCTGAAATCAATTATATGACCAAACAGTGGCAAAGCCAGGATCAGAATCCAGGCCTTCAGGCTCAATTCCTATGCTCTTTCCACCCTTCCATATTCCACTCCTTAGGGTTTTTTGTTTGTTTGTTTGTTTTTCAAATTATTCTGATTCTAAGCATTTTTTTTTTTCAAAGCTATCACTTTCACCACTTTTGTTGCTGCTGATTTAGTTTGTGGGTTAATAAGCCTTTCCCCTATACACTTATTGAGCATATTCCTGGACTGGCCTAAATTATACTATAGTTTTCAAAAATGTGTTGGAGAGGGCTTGAGTAGCGACCACATATTATTTGCAACAGGCACAGATTTAACTGTGGTTGGACACAAAGATCAGTGACCCACCTATTGTTCCATCACCTCTTTCCCCCCCCCCCAAAAAAAAATCACTTTTTATTATCCTTTTTCAAGTTAGTGATTTTCTTCTCTCCAGGACAGTTTCTTGCCAATGACCACAATAAACACGGCTGTCAAAGTTTTCTCTGCAACTCAGCACAAAATGATCAGTACACGGTACTTATTCAGAAATCACAGAGACTTTTGAAGCTTCATAAAGCTTTGCCTTTACTTGCAAAATCCATTTATATATTAAATGCTTACACTCTTCCACAAGATTGATTACTCAGTTTAGCTTAGATCTTGGGAAGGAAAAATTAAAAGCAAGAACAAGAGAACATATTGAGTCTCTGCCATCTACTTATTTTACCCTTTGTACTAGTAATCTCAATCCTCGCTCTACATCAGAATCAGCTGGTAAACTTTTCAAATAGAGCAATTCCTGGTCCCTAATCCTAAAGCTTCATTTTAATTTATGGAGATGGGAGTGGAAGAGAGATATCCATTTTTTAAAAGTCTCTCCAGATAATTATAATGTGTAGCCAAGGTTGATAAACACTGTTCTATACAAACATAGCTGACCATGTGAAGGATGCATGCAGGGCATGGGAGTGGGGTGCACTCTGAGAATGAAAAGATCCTGGTATCCAATCTAAAGAAATTATAAAACACTAGAGGCCCAGTGCACAAAATTTGTGCATTTTGGGGAGGTCCCTCAGTCTGGACTGCACTCTCTTGCAGTCTGGGACCCCTCAGGGGATGGAGAGTCTCCTGCCACTGCCACTGCCACTGCACTCGTCAACTGTGAGCCTGGCTTCTGGCTGGAGCAGTGTTCCCCCTGTGGGAGCGCACTGACCACAGGGGGCAGCTCCTGCATTGAGTGTCTGTCCCCTGGTGGTCAGTGCACATCATAACAAGTAGTTGAGCAGCCTTAGCATTATCATTTGTATATCACCCTTTGATTGGTTGAACGGACAACCAGACACTTAGCATATTAGGCTTTTACTATATAGGATAAGTAAATAGGAAAAATTAGGGCATCTGACTTATTTTAAAGCAGTTTAGTCTGGAGTATTCTCATTTGTTCATAGGTAGCATTTTGACTAGTGAAACCTCTTACAAACTTTTTACTCTCATGTATTCAAGAATTCTTTAAAAATTTTTGGCTTTCGAAGAAGGAATTTGAAAAATACTGAAGTCTCTAGAAGCTATGAAATTTGATAGTAGAATCCTTTTAAAGAGGGTTTCCAGAGTTTAAGAGTACTCTTATACTTTTTTTTTCCTTCAAAGACTCGTAAGTATCATTTATTGCCATCACTTTTTAGTTTATCATGCTTTGCTAAAATCAAAAGTAACTCTATATATGCATTATTTTAACTACCCTCACAGGTGGTTTTGATTGGCCTTGGATGTATCCAATTTGTTGTTCTAATATGGTCCACATTCATCCATTCATCTGGTCTCCCAAAAATATGGATTCCTCCAAGCATGACTCCAATCCCATGTGTACA